TATGATAAGAATCATAAATTTGTAATCAAAATATATTTGCTTATCTCCTCTAAAAAATTGATGACGTCAGCTCAAAATTTTGCGAATAAATTCTATCTAAAATGTCCAAAATATGATGACTCTATACTTGTGATTTATCATTCCATTAATATTTTTTGGATTTGCTTGTACAGGGTGACTCAAAAAAATTAATGAATGCGTGCATTTATTTTATTGATTTAATCAGGACCTGCGAAACCGAATGCTTTGAAATCTTGAAGATGTTTTAAAGTTATCGTAGTAAATTTTGGATCAAAATGTATTTGCTCATCCTCCTAAAATATTGATGAGGTCACCTCAAAATATTGTGTAAAGTAAATCCTACAAAATATGATGAATCTATACTTGGGATTTATTCCTGCGTTAATATTTTTTAGATTTGCTTATACAGGCTGTCTCAAAAAAGAAATGACTGAGTCAATTTATTTTATTGATTAAATAAAAAATTGCAAAACTGAATATTTTGAAATATTGCAGACGTTTTGAAGATATCGTAAGCATGGTAAGTGTTTAATCAAAATGTATCTGTTTATTAACCCCAAAAAATTGATGACGTCATCTCAAAATATTGCTGAATCTATCTAAAATGTGCAAACTATACTTGTAATTTATCACTGCATTAATATTTTTTAGATTTGCTTAAACATGTGGCTCAAAAAAAAAGCATAATTAAATGTATTTATTGGTTAAATCAACATAAAATTTTGGGTATATAATACTGTTATTTTTAATGTTACACTGCACCATTCCAGGTTGCTGTACGCGTCCTTGCAAAAATGTTGATGACGTCGTCACAAAAATGTGTAAAAAAAAATGCAACTCAAAAATGATGGATATGTTTCATTGTACTTCAGGAGCGAGGGAAGTCGTGTCGAAACAACTTTGGACCAATTTCTTTCATCGGACTTTGTTTCATTTTTAATACACGTCCATACCCAATACGTATCACTCTTGCAACTATTTTTTGCAAAGGATATACAAGTTTTAAAAATTTCACGGCGCACTGAAGTTTGAAACGTACGTTTCCATTTGCTGCCTACCTGCTACAGGATCAATTTGCACAGTTATTAGCATCCTCAACATCACAGGGCAATAAAATTTTAATGGATACAAAAATAACCTGTCAACGGTACTGTTTTGATACACGCATTCTTACGTTGGGTATGTTCTTTTAAGAGTTCGTATTACAATAACATGACAATAATTTTATTTTTAATTTACAAACAAATGGACATTTTCTCACTTTAGAGTTTTGTAGAAAACATTTAAGGTTATGTATTCGAATCTTCCCTCGCCTTTGAAGTACAATAAACTCCGTTGGTCTCTATTATGACTTTTTTTACAGCCTCTTTAGTTAATGTAAATATATTAATAGAAATATTTATTCATCTAACAATTTAATTTTATTGTAGTTGACGTGTTATAATCACTCAGTATTAACGGTTTACTAAGATTTCAAAAGATTTTGGAGACAAATTGTAATAATCTGAATTTTATTGGTCAATCCAAATACATAAAATGAAAACCAGATTTGTGGCATGATGATCAATTTGGGAGGATGAATTGCCGAATTTTTAATAAATTTTATTTGCGTCAGACAGGTTTAATGTAACCGGATAAGCTAAATGAAGTAACTAGATGTTCACGATCTAACATTAAGTCAACATTTGCCAAAATAATATAAATACTTAAATTATTAGTAAATTAATTCTAAACATTTATGTTTTATTTACAATATATTATTGTGTATATCAATAGAAATTAACATCTAAATGAGCGATGCGTATTCGAACCGGAAATAAAAGTAGTACTGCCGCTTAGAGCACACTTCTTGAGTCTATCATGTAATGTCGGAAATGTTACAGTATTATTAATCGGAGAGTTCTGTAACTTAAATTTTTCTATGAGTAAGAGAGAATTTCCAGCTTTCTCTCTAACTACGCTTTGATATTTCTTAATAAATGTAATCTTTCTTCTGACACTCGCTTTTGTCGTTATGAAAGTAGATATACTTATTCTATATTGTTACGAGTGCACAATGCTCCAATATTGATTGAATAATACGTGTAAATCTATTCGTTAATTTTACAATAAAGTTTAGTTTACAAATTATTAATTTAACTAGTGATTGTTATTTTCTTAGGGAACCATTCACTGTTGACAAAGAATGTACAAATTAACGAAAACAAAGAGACGAATAAATACATAATTTAATTTAATTTAAGAAATTAGGAGAAACAGTGCAATCTTTCAGGGTTGTTTATTTTTTTTGCCGCTCAGGATATTTTAAGTTCATATCAACATATTTCGTAAGTAATGTTAAGTATGTAAGTAAATGTTTTGACTGTGGGCTCCTTGACATTTTGCACATGTTTTGGAAAATCAAGGTTTAATATTGTATTTTTCTTCTAATTTTTATTGTCATTAATTAGTGAAATTCAAAGTCGACGCTCGATTGTATCATTGAGATTGGCAATTAGATACACATATGGGATCGGGGACAGAATTAATTAGCTAAGAAAAGCATTTTTTCAACTCCATTTATATAACAGTAATAACCTAATTGCTTTATTAGAAACGTGCATTGCCTATTGAATAAAACTTGAGTCCTGGCTTTTCTACTGTTAAAAAAAAATCACACAGTCAATCGGTTAACCAAAAATAATATCGAGACAGCAATAAAAAACACGATCAAAGACACCTATGGTTTTTTTAAGATTTGTCTTTGATAGAATTTTCGATTGGTCAGACTACCGTCAAGTTTTTGTTGCTGTCTCAATACATTGTTTATAATAGCATATTAACAATTGATTAATTTAAGTGTTAATTAAAATATAAATACTTACTGAAATTCTTGTCATTTCAGACATACTTACATTAAATTTATATCTCAGATTATTAAAACCCATCTGAAGTAGGTAATAATAATAAATCAATAACTTAAATAGTAATTGACCGTTATTCAGTGACTGAAGATGGACTATTTATATGTATGCAACAGAATATATCCACACATGTACAAAGGATTGTATAATGTGTCTAGTGTGCTGTGTGTTGAGCGCAAGGATAAATCAAGGTTATGTAACATTATTTTTCTTGTACTAAGTTTAGAAAGTTACAATGGCGCAAGCGAAATGTTTACCTGTAATTTCTGGCTTTGAAGAGTGCATGGTGCTGAGAAATACGAAGTCGAACATATCACTACACATTTTTTTACATATAAGTAGTTATAAAAAAATATATTTTTTATTCACATCATGTCACATATTTATATGCAAGTATTTTAACAGTTGTATAGAAACATTTTAAACTTAATCTTCTTCCGTTAGTAATATCCCTCTTCCAGGAGTTCCAAGAGTGTTCTTGTGTACCGTGGACAAAGGACAAACAGATTTTCCATCATTTATTTTTGTTATGCCTTGTAATGAATAAATTAACAATAATTGTGTACCAATCTATAAATAGTAATTAAATACAGAGTTTCTGTTAGTTCTAACCAAAAACAGTAAGTGAATGAAAAAATATGTTTTGCTCCAGCTTATCATCTTCATGTTTCTTGACGTCTTTTTGATACAGATTGAAAATTTTGTATAATATAGTAGTGGAAAATACAAGTGGCAAACCTAACTTTTAAAACCCGCTATAAAATTATCATAAAAGTATGAATTCTGTCAACAAATGTTTATTGTTCTTCTATTTATGAATAAACACCCGCACAGAAGGGTGGTGAAGATGAGTCAAGCGAAGCAGTATTAAAAATAGGACTTTTCATATTGTTACGATGTACAGACGAATAAAAAATTGGTGTAGGTAAAACTCAACGATTTATTTCTTACTAACTAGATTTTACACGACTAACAGCGATAAAATAATTCCGGCGCAACTTCTCTTCACTGAACTAGCTGAATAATAATGCGTTCCCGAAGGCAGCCTCTATTTAAACCCATACTTCGGCGATCCAGGTCTTTCTCGAATTGGGTATTCACGAATTCCGCTTCCAGGGTTTTCGAACGTCGCTGGGCCGCGTCACCAACGATGCGTCACCCGTCATTGCCGCCGGGCCTAGAAAGTTCTCGACGGTCCATTGGCGTCGTACCGGGGTGGCGTATGGGTTTATTTCGTAACAATATGTACGCAGGTAAATAATAATACAATGAAACTCCAAAATTCTTTTTGGTACAAACTTAGCACGTTACTTTTTATAAATGATGATCATTTTTAGTACCAAAGAAGTAAAAATAGTCCAATTAAAAATTAAAATTATTTTAATTTAATTCCCATCATTTTACCTCATATTTATCTAATATTTTTGATATGTCCCCTGACGTTTACATAAAAATAAAAATGTCCATTTATACAATTCAAGAAAAGGTTCAAATGGTTACGGCCTTTATTCAAGCGTGCCAAATTCGTAATAATTTTGCAGTAGCATACCCCCATTGCAAAACTTATCATCTTTGGTATTAATTTAATTAATTAAAAAAAGTTACACTTTAGCCTCAAAAATCAGAACATGTAAAAAATTATGTAAACTATGTGTGTACCAAAAAGAATTTGTAAATTTGCAGTAGAAAAACGATTAACACGATTTAAATTTTACACTATGTAAATTCCTGTGATGCATTCGTAAAAAACACATTGTATATGACAGCATATGATAGACGCAAGTGACAAAAGTGCAGTTAAAACTGTTTTTAAAGATTTTTTATTATTATACCAGTCTATGTACACTAGAAAACGAAACTTGCAACGTAAACACGAACATAAATTCACAAGTAACGTATCCAACAAATTTCCAAGTAATTTTTTAAGTTATTTAGTTATAACCTACGTCAATTTGAACGTAGAGGAGAATCTTTTAGCCCTATATTTATTTACTACTAAATAAATGAGCAAACCGTTTTGAAAATGCTGTCAAATTTTGTACACCTTAAAAAAACTAAGAAAGATAACTAACAGTAGATATATTAATCAGTCACAATAAATTAATCTTAACAAAAAATAACCGATTTATGTATTGCCTATACATTGATATTATTACGACTAAAGTAACATAATGTTATACAAGTAGTTAACAACTTACAAATAACCTCACACAGAAACTACATGATCTCCAGAAATAATACAAAAGTGGAGTAGAACTTTTCTTTCTTCGTGTTCAGGTCCTCTAGTTTGTAATAATTTTTTTTTAACATTGAAATAATCATTCATAGAACCACGTTTGCCAGCAAGACATTATTTATAAAAAAATATATATACAGCGTTAGTCACGAGAGAATTACTTCTGAAAATTATTTTTACGCAACTCAAAATACTAATACCCTGTACCACTTGATATTATCTAAATTTAAAATGAAATGCCTAATCCATGATTGCTTTGACTTTGGCAGTGTCACTTTGACGTTAATTAAGTTTTAACATTTTTTTTCATCGTCGACTCGCCTCTAGAGCCCCATTGGATCGACGACGTACGCTCAGATCAATCTGGGCTATACTGAAACCGTAAGTGCTCTACCAATGTTGTTCGCCGCTAATGTGCATGTGTTAATTCGCTATCTCTGCGTCACCTAGAGCCTCTTCGAAGTGCAAATCTCCAACCTCTGGACTTCTTCGGCCATCCATTTACAAAAAAGCCGTAGGATCCCCCCAAAATGCCCAACATTTTCAACAGATTAGTAGTTAAATTATTTACTTACTTGTTTGAGTTTGTGTTGTAACCTTTGAATAAAATGCCGTAAAAGCAATTTTTAGAAATAATTTTCTCGTGATTAATCGGTTGCAAAAGATCAAGAGGCACACTGACAAATTTATTAGCGGCGCCGGAGGAGATTTCCGACTGGCTGCGGTACCACCATGGACACTCGCGTAACCTCCTTTTCCACAATTGTCAAAATGAGATTGTCAAACTCAAAGCAATCATGGATTAAGCATTTCATTTTAATTTCAGTTAGTATCAAATGGTACATGGTATTCGTATTTTGGGTTGCGTAAAAATAATTTTCAGAAGTAATTCTCTCGTGACTAACCCTGTATATACATATATAGAAATATTTTCTGAAAGGGAAATATGTAGTTAAATTTAACATATATGTTTAGCTTATTTTATGTAAGAAGAGTATTTAATTATTTATTTAGTTTCACATTTGCAGTCATGTTATGCCTTAGGTAAAATCAGTATCAGCGATTATTTTAAATTTAACTTACGTTTAGCAATGCACAAGTAGAAATGTGAAAGTGGGCGAACATATTAAGGCACCGTAATATTTAAAGTACTTGCACATTTATTCCAGGGAAGGATTTTCACACCAGTAACATATAATTCACTTAACAACACACATACTCCAAAGACCTCACGACCTAACTGGGCCTCAGCATATAAATATCCAATAGTTGATCCTAAAAAACGAAAAGACATGGTTTAACTTATTTAAACAAAACTTCCCTTGCAGCTAGAACATAACCTGTTTTTAATATAACTTATAAAAAAAACGAGTATGAATTAAGATGCTACATGTATAGAAACATGTTCTACTTAACATGTTCATAATAAGTATTATTTATTTACCATTTATTAATTCATTTGTTTATACAATATTTTAACTGGTATTAAGTTAATCACGCATTTCATGATACGTTTGCCGACGTCTGATTGGCATAGAGTCGGTCATGCGATACTTTAACGTCGTCTCAAAAATTTAATCGCAATCAAATATTAAATGAGCTTCTATAAACCGGCTCTAGAATTACCATTCTCCACCAAAAGATCGAATTATCAGGATTTGGATTAACCAACTATCGAAAAAAAAAATCCAAAATTAGAACAAACGTTTTTAAAGGTAGGTATACTCTACCAAATGATTATATTTAGATATTGAGATAAAAAATCAGTAGTAAAATTGAACCGACTGTTGTGAAATTTTGCACACGATATCATGAACATGGCATAATTTTAAGTAAATGTCGCTTGAAATCGAAAGTCTCACATGCCTCTTGCTAAAGACTTAACACAATTCTTCTTTAGCTTATAATCGTTGGTCGGCTGAAATTCATTGTCGAGAAAACTAATAATTTATTTTTTATTAATCAAAGAAACAGCGAAGCGAATTTTAAAGTTTTAATAAGTATATTCACTTTCAGTCGTTAGTTGCTCTTTAGTAGACTTAGAACCATGGGGCAAGATACCGAGATAAAGTGAGGAAAAAAGGTAATTTTTGATTTCTTGAAGTAAAATGAAGATTGAAGAGTATCACAGTGATAACGATATTGTGTTCTCACTGCCTAAATCAAAAATGTTACCAAAGACACAAACACATGTTACGTGTTGAATGCCATCTCCCTCATTAACCACTTATTTCACACAGTTTTGTAAATAAACTAAATTACTTATTTTTTTCAGTCGACTTTGTGGATTATGTTTACGCATATTTTATTAAATACTAAACTATGGAACATTAATTGTGTTTTTATCTTTATTTAAACTATTACCGTTCTCAAACCTCATTCCAAGTCCTGCTCCCGCACTTTGCCCAAACGGTGTGCTTGCTTCAGCGTGTGGACCACCAGGACTCCAACGCTTTGCCAACAATCCTCCAGCCAGACCAGCAGAAGCGTGGAAACCAAAAAAATTTACACCAATCGTAAAATCATAAAATGTAATTGGAAACCGAAACTGAAAGCAATGTTTGAAAATAACAACGTAATTGTAAAATACTTACCAAATTTAGACCAGAACTAAAATAATCTGATCCGATTAAGGGAAAAATCGACATTTCCGCTTCTTTTACGACACATATTACAACCAATACATATAAAATGTTCAGCATTTTAATGAAAAAATTATCGTCTGGAAACTGTCGCTATAATCGTTACAATGTAAAATTTTGTGTAAAAATATGCCGTCGCCGCCGATTATTTAAATAAATAGTGGCGACGAATAAGCATTGTTTTTATTCTTTCTAGACTAGTAATGCGGAAACTGCATTTTAAACAGCAGTTGTACACGTAAAGTCTGAATTATGTTTGAAAGCTAAATATATTAAGTATATTTAACAGAAAACCTTGGCAATAACAGTGACCATAAATTTGACTGAGGACACCTTGATAACACTATCTTTATTTAAATAACTAAATATGTAGTTAAACGTAAACCAATCAAAATGTATTTACACCAAAATTCGAGAATAATTTTTGTAAGTGGTGCTACCTAGTCACTTACATATGTTTTTATGTATAAATAGATACATTCAAAATGATTCTTTTATTAATGTTTTAATTACATAGTACTAACAGCTAACTAAATAAATTATAGCGTGACAAAATTACAAAATCATAAGTTACGGTAACTTTTTAGAATAAATAATAATAATTAGAGATTTGTAAACCAATCTAACCATTTTTAAGGTGATAACCATCAGTATAAAGAAATAACTTAATTGAGCAACCTGCACACATTATACGACTTATCACAGATAATCTGGCAAAATTTCATCATAGTTTATAAAAACTTGGAAATTTCTAAGGAAGCGTTCCTTTTGAATGCCGCATAATTTTGTTCCGAAACCTACAACAACAATTTCAGGTCTACAGAATTTTATCAACTAAAAGAACATACCTTCAACGCATCTTGTAACTCGATATTCGTTAGTCGAATAAGACCTCGTAGATTTCGATTAAGTAGCTTATTAAATTCAGTCCTGGTTAGCTTGAAAGGAGCTTCTGTTGTTGTTGCGTTTGGATCACTACTAGCTGTAGTAGTCTGCATTACCTACAAAATTAAATGTTAATTACTCAATACATTTGTTTCGTTTTAGTATATTTTATTTATATTATAACTATATTTTACAAAAAAAAAAATCTCTACGACTGATCTAACTTTCTTGTCTGGCCACCAAGGTGAAAATTTTCTTTCCGTTGTTTAACAGGAGATTAATGTTCGCAATAATTTCTTTGGAGAACACAAACAATTTTACATAAACAAAAGTTTTCTTAAATTCATATCTTAAAAGCTTTTCATCTTAAACCATATGTAAGAGATATCAAATATACAAATGTTCGAAAGTTAAACGAGAAACATTACACAATTTCGGAAATATATGACCACATTATTTTTAATCTATTATAAATCATACAGAATCATTTAAAGTTAATATGATCAGGATTAAGATCCGAAACCCAACAATTTAAAATAAGTGTTTTTACAATTTTTTGATTTTGGCAGTAATGTTGAATTTGAAATATTCTTTTAAAGGATATACTTATTAACTTACTTAAATTTAATAACTACATCTGATCAGAACTAGAGGTCATTACAGTCGGATAGGCAACTGTGTCAGACTTAACACAGCCATTTTGTATTTCTCAAATCATATAAAAAGTTTTGTAATTGGGTCATTTTGACAAATGTGTAATTTTGTTTCTTGACGTCTCGCAACATATAGAATACGAAAGCGTTGATTTTATATTTATCTGTCGTCGTCTTTTGGCGATTGTAAACAAATAGTCTTCGAATCTTTGAAATTTTGTCCCCCAATCCTTTTTAAGAATACATCATGTCATCTTCAAATATACTTAATTATTACTTTAAATGTGCAGCAAAGCATATTTTCCCAGTCAGTAAACGGTTAGGACCTACTGAACCAATACGGGAAAAATTTAAATCGGCGCCCATGAAAAGTTGGATTTACAAATTTATTCTTTGAATCGAAAAAGTATTTGGTTTTCTTCAAAATTTAAATTTAAAGCACTAAATGATGTTTCTACTCTTCTTGGAACTTATTCAGTTGCTTCAAGAGCAATGTCAGAACCCCCTGAACCCCTGTACTTCAAGAACGAACGCAATTCGGTTAGAAGTATCCATGTACCTGATATTTGAGCAAAATTTGCACCGCAGTTCGGATACGACCCTCTAGATGCACAAGCACAAAAGGTTTCCTCCAGATAATAAATAGCACAATTTTGCATAATTTTGTACAAACCTAATATGGATTTGGGGATTACGAAACATAAATCAAAACTTATGTATTCTTTTCACAGAAAGCTAACAAAATGATCAGAAAATATAGCAACGATTTATTAAAAAATAAGAAATGTGACATTTGCGCTTCAATAGTATAACTGTACGTTTTAAAAGTACTTAGAACAGATATTTGAAAAATAGAGTATAATTAGATTTATTTTATTTCTGATTTTAAAAAAGATACATTTAATATTTGTAAGAGATATGAAATACAAACAGTGTTATCAAAAAATATATAAAAATTTATAACAAAAAATATATTGCAATATTACTTGTACTTTATTTCTTAATTTATTGACACATAAATGCTTCATCTAATTTCCCGAAATTTTGAAATAAATAAATATTTTGAAAAGTTTTCCTTCACGTATGTAAGGAAAGTTCTCTATGTAGAGATATATTTACAGATGTTCTGTGGCAATATTTATACACAACTTTAAATTAAATCTCTATATCAAGCAAGATTTGTACAAACTATTTCAAACTTGTTTCCAAAGTGTAACTGTATAGATTAGTTAAAAAATTATTTAGATGTAATTAACATAAAACTAGACATTTTACCTAAGATACGAAATTTATCCACAAAAATCGAAGGTCATAGTAGACAAGACTAAAATGACAGTTTTCAACGAATTGCACACAGGACTTTTTATGTGTTAAATTTGTATATTTAATTTGTGTAAAAATTACCATCATTAATACGACTTCGTTGAAGTGGTGCAGAGTACTGTGTAACAACGAACCACATCTACGAAACTAATAGTAAAACATATTTTTTTTATTAATTGATTAATGTTAATTGAACTATTTAAGTGTATTCAACAAATGAGTAACAAGTAAATAAAAAATGGTTTCTTTTAACACCGGAAAAGCCTCAAAAACCGGTATGATAATTCTTCTCATATCTTTTCCGTTACGTTGATATCATTTACATAACTGAGTGTAAACAATTTTGTATTTCTTGCACTGCAAAATTAAAAAAAAAAGGAATGAGGATGTAAAATTTCATTTTGCAGCTGATTTTTTTCCTGTTTTAATTTCCACTGTTTGCGATACATCCGTAAAGAACTTTAAGATTTCTAAATATTGTGCTAAAAAATATCCAAACTATAGATCGTGTTCTATTCTTTTTGTCGAATTTATCATCACTGCAAGGATACCTTTTCAGAGCATATTCAAATGAAGGAAATTGTTTATCGTTCAAATCAACTTACAGGGGCACTTTCAGGCGCGAAGTTGTCATTGATGAGTCGACTCACGTTTCTGAACGTGTGTTTAGTATCGTTCCATTGCTGAAACATTGAAAATTTAGATACAAGAACATCAATTTCAGAGTTCTTACCTCAAACACAACAGAAAATAAAGTGCGAAAAAATCCGGGCTTCTTTTTAAAAATAAGTCTTTTATCACGACTGATTTGTTGACTCGAAATTAGCTAAAAAGAAGAACTCATTCCCAATTTTAAATTTTATTTTCACTTACTTTGTTTGCTCTTGCTGTTTCTGTAGACTGGAGCGCCAGTACCAAACAGGTTGTTATTAACAATAACAGCAAACTTCGAATTAACAATCTATTCTGCATAGCCTATAAACAGAAACAAATTATTTTTAAAAACGCGTTTGGTTTCAAGCGAACTTTCTCTGAAGTTTTCTTTTTGTTTTTTTAATTATATAAGAGTACTCTGATTACACTATAATTCAGTGAATTATTATTGTATAGACTTTTATAAAAATCTAGGTTGAATTTTCTTAAAAATTATCTGATTAAATCGATTTCAAAGATCTTTCCCAGGAACGGAGAAAGCGGTGCATCAAACAACAGAAAATAATGTGAAGAATAACCATCAAGATTTCTTACGCAGATTTTTAACTCATTCATTCAAGCGAGGCAATTGTTTCAGTTATCTTAGCGGGGTACACAAACCTACTTATTTAATTGTAGCACAATTACGTAAGAAATTTCGTGCTCAATGAATGCAACGTGATTTACTATTTTTATTCGAATCGACAGAATGTAGGTAATTTAATTAAAAAGAAAACAGCTCGATTGTTGTGATAAGATAAATTTGTACAATATAAAAATATCACGACAACGACTTTCATCAGCATTCCAGATAAAGTAAAAATTACATAAAAGTGCTCACTTGGAAAATCCGTTTTGCTACAAACTTGTAATTCTCGTTTATTAAGTAATTGAAAATGAAAGCTGCACTGGTCATTATTTTTGACAATAATGATCATGTATGCTGTAATTTATCTCTGACTAGTTGGAAAAACAATGTCCACAAGGAATTAAAGGCAAAGGAAAATTTAGTAAAAAGTAAATAACACTTACAAAATTATTGTCAAAATCTCTATCTGTTCACCATATTGTCACCAGCCACTCTTTATCGTAAGTCTATAACTTTGCGTGTACAACACCTTAACCACTAGCATTCCTTCGTAAGAATGCTCGAATAGTTATTACAAGAATCCACCGGCACTTGCCAACGAAAGTGACTTGAATATACTGTACACGTAAAGGTAGAGTTTTCCTTTTCTGGCGCAAATGCTGCCTAGCTAAGGAAGGAACTGATTGGAAGTTAAATTAAATGTGTACACTATACTCTCACTGATTAGCGGCGGTTGAAATAATGATATAACAGGTTGTTGATAGTAGGTCTGGGTTTTTTTGAGAAGATGAAATAGTTGATCGACATTCGAATAGCCTTGGTGACCTTTGCGTATTACAAACGCCTGGAACTAAGAAAGTCGTGACGAGACGGATGTCATTGGAAATCGGTGATATTGCTCAACGAGGATTTCTTTTGGACAATTGACTCATGCTGTCTACGCATCACAATTAGAAACATTACAATATTGGCTAAATGAGATTATTATTAGCATACGTGATATAACGCATTTCCGGTTTACAAATCTTGGATCAACTTTTATTAATGTAACAACCGGTAGGAACAAACTAGAATATAAATTTATTATACTTATATTAATATAATTTCACATTTTATGTTTGAACAAGAATATGTAAAATAAACTTCATTTGTTGTAATAAACTAATATTTGTTACTTTTAAAATATTTAGTAGTAAATTTAGGGACATTATCTTGAGATCGCAGTTCATTTAAAAATGTTGATCATACAGGAAGCAAAGTTTATAAAACCATTAGAATATAATATTTTCAGTAATGTTAGAAATTGAACCTGTTACTCAACGAAATTTTAATATTTGAATTGTGGCCTTGTGTTGAAAAAGTGGGTTCGACTGTTCAGCAACTTGGCAACAAAAAACTCTAATTCCTAAAGAACTATCAAAACTAAAAGTCAGTATATTATTAAAGTACACAAAAAACGCATAGCAGGCTAAATATATCTAATAAATATTTATTTGACAATCTTTTGTCTTAACCTCATTACTCATTAATTTCGTTGTAGGTAATTGTATCAACGTTCTTTAATCATTAGCACAATATACCTTAGTAGGCGTAAATGTTAAATATGATTCTGCAAACTTTTTTGTTATATGAATTGCTAAATCACACAATGTTATGCTTTATGGTTCAAATAAAATATTTTAATAAAATTATGTCATGGAGTTATAAAATTTTAAGGACACATATGTTTTGATATGCATAGTGAAATATTAATAAAACGCCACTTTCTTTCTATAATTTCAGATAAATTAAGCAAGGCATGTGGTTTAATAGCCAAACATTTATTGCATCAACATCCTCAAAAGAATTAATAAGTAAATTTTAGCTAATTTTCTGTAATACTTAAAGAAATGACAGAACCACGTCACTCTACAAATTGCAACGAAAAGTAAATGAAGAAAATTTTGAGATATGTAATATGTATTTGAAATATTTGGATAGGTAAATTTAAGTTAGCGTTGTATTTCCATTATTTCGGAGTTTACATGTGTAAATAACAATAAAATCGATAATAAATTTCGCAATAAGAAGACAGACAAAAAACTGTAATACGTACTACGGACCACAGAGACAACAGACTACAGATAGATGGAAATGAAAGGTAAAGATTCCCATATTAGAAAAGCTGTCAAACGCCTGAACGATACGTATAGTATTTACGCCCTAGTTTAAAAGCTCGAAAAATAAAAAAATACAGGGTGTTAATAACTAATTTACATGAAGTCGTGAACACGACTTAACCAAAAAATTGAAAGGTTGACGACTAACTAACAAAGTAATTAATTTAGTAAAAACAAAAAATGAAGCGGCATAATAAAGTCCAAATAAAAAAATGTTTTTTCACTAGCGGCCATGAACCATGCAAAAGTCGACTCATTTAGAGGTAGCAAATTCAACTTTTGCGACCACGGGTTCAAAAAGAAGATTGAGGTTATGTACGCAGTACTTGATGTGATTATTTTTCAAAAAATGAATAAATGTGTGCTACTAACATTACTTGAGTATACGCATGCTAGTTGGTAGACGGTAGAAGATAAAATGATTAATTCAGCGACAAGTGTAAACGGTATTCTTTGTGTTGAAGATTTAGATTAAGTTTGATTAGAAATCAAAACAAAATCATGTTGCGTCAAAAATTGAACTGTTATTTTTTCAATTTATTTGATTATGGTGTCTGCTAGTGAAAAAAATAGTATATTAACCACGGTTGCAAAGCTACTTCTAGACCTCGCGCTTCAGAGCCCTCGACGCTGCGCGTCTCGGGTTCTAATTTGCGCTCGGTCTAGAATGCTTGGCTTTGCAACCTTGGCTAATAATATACTATTATGTACCTACAATAACGTTTCCCGTTTTCGATCGTGTGTGGTCGGTCTGTCCACCCAATAGAAATTTATTGGACAGCTATTTATCCGTTCATGATCTTTATGAACTACGATTGGCCATGAAAATTTAGTTAGGTTTGTTGATAGTTGGTAAAAAATAGTCAAAATTCCCTTAATTATTCTTGTCAGGTTATCTTATTTCAAATGTGAGGTTAGGAAATGTGTTAGACACTAAAATATTATTAACAAATGAAAAAAATAGAAAACTAGAGCTAGAAATAGGTAAATACATATCAGGATAAGTATGTGAAACTACTGACAGACAAAAAGTATAGCAGTGAAACAATTTGTCCACAATATAGAAAAATTATCAATGCCTACTTTAATTCTAAAAGTTCGTGATTGCACAACATTAATACTAATAATAATAATTCCTTTATGATTTTTATTTTTACATTTTACGTTTTAGGCTCGTTTTTAAGGTAAGTGAATCAACAAATTTTACTATTTGTTTGCAAGTTTCGTAAACAAATTATCAATACAGTAAATTTATTCAATAATTACATACAACTATAAATAAAATGTATGTTAATTACACATTATCTCTTTATAACGTCATCTCAGAAACTTAAATCATTAATGTACTCTACTTCCTGAAACGCAATATTGCTGAACAGTTAAGAAGTTTTTTTTATTATCAAAATATTTTATATTTGTTTTAATTTAAAAACAAAATTATTCCAAAGTTTAACCAGTTGCGAAGTTGATTATTCAAAAGAGTTTTGGTTTTTAAAATATGTAGATTATTTAAATTATTTTAGAATTACTAGATCATATTTAGAGAAATGTTTGATTTTTACTTTTCTGTGATCTCAACTTTTGTTATTTTATTTATTTTTTTAATACATGTAATTTTTAAATAATGTTAAGCTCTCTTTTACTTTGAAAACCTCATGACCTTTACTTTAACGTTCATTTGGTTGGGAAAAAATTCTCTCGGGTTTTCATCGAAATTTTCAGATAGTTTTCAGGTGTACCTTACTTAAGGACTTATTTCCTTTTGTTTTCTTAATTCTACTGTATATACTAAAATATTCTAAGACTAATCTAGTTTAGTATTATTCAAAGTGTTAGTTCAAATTTTCAAATAGCCGCTTTAATTTTTACTTCCCGAGCGAAAGCGAAGGAAGTATTGTAATCGAGTCTTTTCATGACCTCTACAGAACGAAAAAAGTACTCTCTCGTTTCCGTCTGTCTGTCTGTCTGTCAGTCGTCTGTCTGTTACACAAAAATATACTCATACTTGTAGCGTACAAATCCACTTTTAGTTTTTTCGCTAAACCTTCAAATTTTCACAAAACACTTGCCAGGTATAATAATGTTTTATTCCCAGCACGGTTTAAACGTCTCCATGGCGTAATGGGTGAATCGGAGATAATGGGGATCTGCGGTACTGCAATTGTGGTTCGATGCCGAACTTGACCCTTTATTTTTTTTTGCATTGGTATAACGATGTGACTACTTCTCTTTTATGTTGTGACTAGAAGTTTCCATGTTGATCACGTCATCACAAATTTTTTATTGGTAAAATTAAGATCGAGTCACCTCATTTTCTTCAAAAAGTGAAGAATACTTACGACTTTATATATTAATGATAAAATAAGAATTGTAATATTCCGAACATTTTGTTCGATTGTGGTTTAATTAATAATTTTAGTCCTGTTTTGACAAGACAAACTCATTCAATTCAAATTAACTTTTACGTGACATTCTTGAGCTTCAGACTGCTATTACCTACTGCTGAAAGACAAGGGGTGTTATTTATGCCTCTGCGTTTTACTTTACAGCGGTTAACATAAAACGAAAATCATAAATTCAAATTTTATAATTATAAGAGCTGGATTTGTCGGATTATATATAGCCTTCGACCAATTTTTGATTGATTAAATTAAGAACCTCATTTTTTAGATTTGCTTATGCTGGGTCACTCAAAAAAATTAATGAATCAGTCAATTTATTTTATTCAATAAATCAGAAAAAGATTATTCCAAAATTGAATACTTTGAAATCTTGCCGACGTTTTAAAGTTATTGTAAGCATGGTAAATTATTAATCAAAATCTAGCTGTTTATTCCAACAAAAAATTGATGACGTCATCTCAAAATTTTGCCGAATAAATTCTACCCAAATCGTGCAAAATATGATGAATTTTTACTTGTGATTTATCACTGCTTTTATATTTTTAGATTTGCTTAAACAGGTGGTTCAAAAAAATTAATGAATGAGACAATTTATTTTATTGATTAAATCAGGCACGGCTCACTCCATTTTCTCAGAAAATTTTGGGAATACAATACTGTTATTTTTAATATTACTCTGCACCAATGCAAGTTGATCTACGTGTCCTTGCAAATTGCATGCTTGAAAGCTGTTGGATATGTTTTATTGTACTTCAGGAGCGAGGGAAGTTCTGTCGAAACAACTTTCGACCAATTTTTTTAGCTGTGGAAATTGGAAAATTCTTATAACTCCATTGTTTAAGCTCATGAATTTACTCGTAAAAGTATCTTTAAATATTCTTTTAAATTTACTTTCAAATTATACTTAACTTACTTTGGAATGCCATAATGTTACACAGTATACTGAACGGTATAACAACAAATGAGACTTTACTTAACTGTCGACAATTTTTTCTTGAAATGCTGATATTCCAAAACCATTTAAAAACACATCCTAAAATATCTACCACCGAAAAAATTGATAATATCACTTAAAAATATGTATAAGAAATAAATCTTTGTGAAAACATGCCCTCTGAAATGCATAACGCTATCTATTGGTTGTGGTTAACAGGCAAGGGAAAGTCGATAAAAATGACTTCACACGCTGTTTCAACATTACATTGAAATATGGTAAAATTTTTTTACACTGCTTGGAAAATCCCATTACAATGTGTTAGACTAGTGGCATTTCGTGTAACTCCACTAGCTGATGTTTAAAATAAGCAGGAAGTCGGATCACATCTCAAAAGCACATATGAAAATATGCCATGAAAAAAAATTAATATTGTCTCAAGCAGCAATATTTATTCTACTTTTCGA